GCACCACAAATTCTGGACTAGAGACAGTGTTCTTATTATCTCTCCTGCTCCTCTCCTCATTCTCATTATCCTCATCCCTTTCATCTGTTTTCTTACTTACCTCCCTATTCCTCTTTCCATAATTTTCATTTCTCAAAGTATCCATGTACAGCTGGGGTCTGTGTTGGGCCTCCTGCTAAGAACACCTGTAACAAACTGTCCCTTCTGCTGATGCTGAATCAGAGATGCCTCTCTGGTACTATACACACTTGGTGAAGGTGCCTGCTAGTTCTTGATTTCCTAAACTGAATGTGAGGGTTGGGAGAAAAAAATTGGCAGCAGCACAAGGTTTGCAAAGGTGCAATGGCAAAATATTAATTCAAGATCAAGCATGTCACAACTCTGAGGTGCCTCTGGCAATGCTTATTAAGGCTGCATGCACAACTTCACAGTAGCTTTGGTTTTGAACATATAACATATGCACTTGCACTGTGCATTCATCACACCACACACCACCAGCAAATGCTGCTTGAAGCATCACAACTCAGGTTCAAGACTCTGGTATGTTTTCTTCCTATGTGCAAAAGTTTTCTGTTCTTACCATGATGGGGAAACCCACAGAATCCACTGACCCAAGCTAGGGAGAGATCACTGACTGAGGTCTGACAAAAGGGGAACCTGCATAAGACTGAACTAGACTCCCTTAACATAGGTGACAATGGTGTGACTGGGACAATATATGAGGCCACTGGCAGTGGGTCCAATATCTAATTCTAATGCACAAACTGACTCAGTGGAGCCCATTCTATATGGAGAGGTACCTTGCCCACCCTAGACACAGGGATTTGGGGGGTGGAGAGGTGTTGGTCCTGCCTCAAGGAGATGATGGGACAGATTTAGTAGTCTTCCTAGGGGAGGCCTTACCCTCTCCAAGGAGCAGATGGGAGATGGGGGAGGAAGTGGGGGGTAGGAGGAGAGGAAGGAGGGGAAACTGGGATTGGAATGTAAAAAAAAATAAATTAATAAAAAAATTTAAAAAGTATTCTGTTCTTACACAAACAATGGCTTAATCATGGAAACAGAGACTTTCAGTGTCTTCCTGCCGTCATCTCTCAGCACACAACTACCAAATTACTGTCTTTGAATTGTAGCATGTTAGAATGTTTAGTTTTAGAAATTGCTGTTTTAAAGCCCAATATATTCTGACTTGGTGGTATTGGGACAGAATTCCCAACAGTATCTGAAATGTCCCTATATGCACTTCTCTTTTTTGTACTGTGTGTTCAAGTGAAGTGGCATCTCAACATTGATGATTGTAAATTGAAAATAATGATCAACTCTAGAAAACATTAGCGATGGTTTATTTCTGCAGCATTAAATATCCTGCTGAAACTTAATTCTTTCTGTAAAAATTAACAAAACCACCTCTCTCATTAATATGCAAATCAGCTTTAAATGCCAATAAAAGATAAAATTATATGTAACAAAGATTTGCTTTATATAAATTTCTTTGTGATTTATTATCACTTTGGTTTGCATATTCATTTTTATACATCCATTTTTATACACACACACACAGGATCACAAAAACTGCTTGGCCATCAAGAAGTTGCAAGTAGAAACGTTCGAGAAGCTGTGTTCTACTGTATCAGCCAGTAAACTCAATATTTCTGGGGAACTGTTCAGCACCCAGCCACACAGTCAGTCACCAAGAGCATGACCTTCCCTTCCCCAGTTAGGCAAACAGTCCAATAGTTAAGGGCTGAAAAGTATAGGTCTCTTTTCCCAATTCCTTAGTCACCTAGTCAATGGAGAGTTGCCATTGTGCCTCCCTTTTTGCCTCCCAGAATTGATTTCAAAATTTAAATGCTGTGCTTGCTTCTGTCATTTAGATTTTGTTGGCTTTTATTTCAATACAAACACATTTTAGAGACAGTGGAATAGGGAAAATGCAAATAGGCTCACCTGCTGCCCTTTACAAAATTCCCCCAATTTATTCAGAATCTTTTTGGCAAGAGGAAGGCTCATCTGCTTCGGTTTTTTTCATTCTCTCTGGGATGCTAATTGTTTTTCTTTTGATAGTCTTGTTGTTTTGGCCTGAAGTCTAAAATCTGGCCCGCTGAGCTGTGTGTCACATTTGTAAATTAGCTGACATCTGCTTTGAATTTTATCATCTTTAATTTTCTTTCAGGATCGCTTCACTTGTTCATTTTCTCTCTAATTGTAAGAATCAGGTTTTTGTCTTGGCTTTACACAAAAGTGTAGACCTTTCTGCTTTGGGGGCATGGACTCAAATGAGTGGAATCACATGGTTCCAAGGAAGACTATTCAAGGAAAAGATGCTGGGAGAGAAGCCTTAGCAACCATCCCAGAGAGGATGAGCCCTGAACACAAAAGGCTAGCTGTCCACACCACACTTCTGAGGTTCCCACTGAATAATTACAATCTGTTAGAAGGAGATTGACAGTGTGGTTGAACTGGGAGAAATATTTTGAATTAAGACAGGCTGAGGTGGTGGACATATGTGGGCTGAATGCTGACTTTTTATTTAAATTTAAAACAAGCTTGTTTTACATGTCAATCCCAGTTCCTGCACCCTCCAGTCCTCTACTGTTTCCCCCACCAACCTCCATCCCATCCCCTTTCTGCTTCCCAGGGAGGCTGAGGCCTTCCATAGGGAGTCTTCAAAGTCTGTCAAATCATTTGGAGGGGTCCAGACCCTTCCCCAAGTGTCTAGACTGAGGGAGTATCCCTTTATGTGGAATGGGCTCCCAAAGTCCATTCTTACCCTAGGGATAAATACTGACCCACTACCAGAGGTCCCATAGATTTCCCAGTCCTCCTAACTAACACCCATATTCAGGGACTCCTGATTGTCCTATGCTGGTTTCCCAGCTATCAGACTGGAGTCCATGAGCTGCCCCTTGTTCAGGTCAGAATGGCTGACTTTTTATTTATTTAGTTTTTCCATGCTGGAGAGTGAAACCAGGGCCTTAGGTGCAAGGCAAACTGCTCTACTATTGAGCTTCATGGCTCCCTCTCTCCCTATTATCTCTTCTTTCCTTCCTTCTTTCCTTCCTTCCTTCCTTCCTTCCTTCCTTCCTTCCTTCCTTCTTTCCTTTTCCTCCCGCTCCCATCACTTCCTTCTTTTTCTTTTTACCTCAGAAAAATAGTACAGGAAATATTATTGTAAGCAGGACTAGGATTATTTATCAAAGGTTAATTTCATTGTTAACTTATTGAGTGCCAGAGACTTGCAACTTTTTTCCACTTTATAAAACGCTTTCACACACATACAAGGTCAGAGATGTTTGTTAGCATCATGTCCCCTAGCTAGGGCATGTGCTTGAGCTTTTCCTCTGGCAATGTGTCTGTCCATCATGGCTGGAAGAGATCACAAGTAGGTTGGCTGTGCACACAATATAAAAATTTCCTCAATACCAGCAGCAGAGATTCTATACTGTTGTTCAAATTCTAATTGGTCTTAATAATAAAAACCAGGAGTTAGATATAGGGGTTAATGCTGAAAGACCAAGGAAGCAGAACATCTAGCCACCTCTACTGAATGCTCAGACCAAAGGGGCAAGCCTGTCCCTATGAATCCTCAGACTGAATGCAATGAGCTCCTGTCTCCTCCATTGTTTTAGTCCTCTCTCTGCCCAGCCATATCACTCCTGCCTCTGCCTCCCTAGTGCTACAATTAAAGGTAATGGACACCACTTCTTGGCTCTGTTTCTCTTTAAGATTGGCTCAATCTTGTGTAGCTCAGGAGGGCCTTGAACTCACAGAGCTCTGCTTGCCTCTGCCTCCCGAGTGCTGGAATTAAAGGTGTGTGCCACCTCTGCCTGGCCTCTGTGGCTATAGCTCCACACTCTGATTTTCAGGCAAGCTTTATTTGTTAAAGCAAAAACAAAATATCACCACACTAAACCATATTTCTGAAACTATATTATGAAACAGTGGTTTGGGGATTCATAAATTATTTGGATGCTACTATGATAAACCTATTGCTAAGCAAGTCAGAGGTGTGCTGTTTTTGAATATTGTATGTATATAGCAGTGGTTCTTAACGGGGGGGGGCACTTTTTGTCTTCTAGAAGACATTTAGAAATGTGACAGCCAAGTTCATTGTCATAACCGAGAGAGGAGACTGGTGCTAGCATCTATAAGTAGAGACTTGGGTTTCTGATAAATATTTTATAATGCACAGGATAGCCCCACAAGAGCAGACAGGACTAGCTGTATGTACTGAGTTCACTCGCACTCTTCAGTTAGTCACTATTTCCATCTAAGCCAACTTTTGCCCACCCATCCACAACAATCACCAATAATTTCCCCATGGTAAGTACCCATTGACATGTACTGTCTTTCCCTTGCTTGATCTGGCTCTTGTCATTTTGCCGGAACAATCTCTGTATTGAGATTAGAGTGGCCTTGAAATGGGTTTGGACTTTACCCCACCATGTACCAAATCCCACAGTGATTACTACAGGACAAAATGAAGACTTCTTAGGAAGGTATGCCAAGTCTCCCATGTCTTATCCTTGCCTCTACTCCATCATCATCCCAAATTTGCTGTTCTTGTAACATATACTTCACTTAAACAAAAGGATGCCCATTTCAAAAAGGACATACATGCCACCAAAAAGACAGCCTGGTGCTATCTGGTTACTTCCCAAGACTTGTTCTGAAATGTCTTAGTCTACATGCTTCTTGATCCCAATTTTACCCCCTCCTTCTTCCAATGGTAGATTCTACTATCTCACTGTTCTCCAAGTTCTTTGAACCCATCTTCCTCTAGCATCTAATTTTTTTCTCTATTTAAATATTTAGTCTGCTAGACAGTGACCTCTATCCCCCTGCTTAGATTCCTGGTACAGAATAGCAAGTATCAAATGCTTATTGAATAAACAAAGAGTTCTACTTGGCATTGTCATTTGTACTTCACTCAATTTTTTTTTTTTGGTTATCATATTTTGTACTTCTTTTAGAAGTTTGCTCTATTTGGTTTCTATAGATACCTGCCATTCCCAGCCTTTCCGTTTTCCAGTTGTCGGGAAAGCAGCTTGGCAATGTTGGTGAAACTGTTGCTCATTCGGAAGATGTCCCTGCTGTGAGGTCCCAGGATGGAAGAGAAGGTATCAGTGATGCTCTTAATTTCCAGCAGTAGAATATGGTGAAATGAATGCTCCATGTTAGCCAGCTGGCTCACCAGATATCTTAGGCAGCTCCTGGCTCTTTCCTGCCAACAACAATGAACAACAGAAGTCTGTATGACAATATACTATCAAAATTTCATGAACTAGAGTCCTTCAAAGAAATACGGGTAGTATTAATAATGTGAGCACTTTTGAAGACATCACATTTGTGTGAATTCATGATATGTTATGTATTACAGAGGTATTGTCTATCCCCAAGTTAGAATAAAAAGACAGAAGTGGGGGTTCTTCATCACGTGCCAGGCACATCTTAGAAATTAGGAACACATCACAAAAGGAAAAGGATGGAAACCTACTGTCATGATGAAGCAGACAGAGTGAACAAAATACCCATGTAAAATACATAGTGTGCTAGATGGAGAAATGTGACGCAGAATAAAAATGAATCAGGAAGAAGAGACCCTGGGAAATTAATATTAAACAGTGCACCCGGCACATCTCAGAGAGAAGGTAATATTCAAATTCAATGAAATTTTTATAATTAAAACCCAACATGCTCAGAAATCTTAGTACAATTAGAGTTAAATTCATCCTGCTTGATACAGGGTGGCAAGGATATCTAGGAGCTGGGCTGAATGGGATGTGACATTTTATTTAGTTTGTCTCACTGACAGTGTAACTTCAAACTCCATGTACACTCCTCAGCTTCAGAGTCAGATTGTGCTTTAGCCTTCTAAAAAGTCATTCCACAAATATTTAAGTATCCCCATGGCTCTATGGAGAGGACATCCTGGGCTGCAGATGTAGATACTGTGCTATAGCAATTTCATAGCATGTGTGAGGCCCTGTAGTGACCCAGGGATTCTCCCCCCCACTCCTTTCTCATCTTAAAAAACTAGAACATTCTTTTCTAAGAAGCATTTGTCTTCTTGATGGTTAAGGTGACTGTGTGGATGCTTGCTGAAATCAGCCTCTTTCTGAATGAGTCTCTGGCAGCCAAACTGAGATGAAGCAAAAATTAATCACATTTTGGGAACAAGAAAAATCTTAACTGCTTGGGACCCAGCATATAAATCAACGCCAACCTCACATCGTTTATTCTGAAACCTTGGAGCACATCCAGGTTCCTCACAGGGGTAACAGATGTGATCCTGGATGTGAAAGTGTGATGTTAGGGCAAGAATGGGGTTATGGAATTTTGATGTCTTTCTCAGCTCCAAAGTATTTTGTCTCTGAGGCTTAGTGACTGCATCTGGTGCTCTCAGTCTTCCCTCAGTGGGACAGGGGCAGCGTCACTTGCATGTCATAATGTGGGCTGGTGACTGTTGACAAAGACAAAGACTGTTGACAAATTCTCAAGGGCAGTTAGTCCAAGTGTTAAGGCTATCCCACATGCTCTTTAGTACACATGGGACCCTCCAGATGATACTGTGAGGTAAGTGATGGATGGCTATCATTTTATGGGGAAGAAACTGAGGACAGACTAATATGCTCCATGCCACATAGTCTCCCTGTCTTTGACTACTGTGCCCTCACTGGGTATGGCACCAATCCTTCCCTTTGTGGTCTCTTGTTTCTCATCACAATTACAGTACTTTTTTGCTTAATTACATTTGATTTACCTAATAAGCATCACAAATACTCTGTAAATAAAAATAGGCCAGCAATTTTCAAACCTTTTTGTTTGTAGGGCCCCTTACCTCTTTTAAAAACACTTGAAGGCCCCTAAGAGTATTTGTTTGTCTGGACTATATGTATTTGCCATTTAGAAACTAAACTGATGAATTAGAATCACCACATCACTTAAAAATAATAAACTATATGTATGTTAGATACAAATGTTTATGAAATAAGATCTCATTCTCCAAAACAGAAGTTTTACAAATCTCTATAGTGTTTATTCATATGGGAAAAAGGAGTATTCTCATATCTGTTCTTCACTTGCTGCATTATATATGGCCCCATATAGATTATATAGTTGGAAAATTAGGATTATTTTCAAAATAGGTTTGATAGTTATGCACATTCTTCATGGATAGTACATGAAGCTCAATAAGTGGCAGTAACAATATTAATATTTTTGTACTGTTACATTAAAATCCATCCTGTAGTTTTAATGGGTCTTTTACCCATGCATGATATTGTAACATTAAGCGCTGACTATTTGGCAAAACACTGGTTCACTGAATTAGGCATATCTTCCAAATAGATGCATTTTATTCTATAAGACCAGAAAATATTATATTTCACAAAGCAGGAAAGTGTTCACAAGTTCCTACCCTTAGCTAAGTAAGATTCTCTTGACAATTGATGGCTTTCAGCAAGGAAGAGAGTCTGTTTTATTTCAGAATATTGCCCCTACTCCAGTGGATTTCCCAATACCCATGAATATATGGACCAAATGACCCAACAAGTTATTGAAAGAAGAAAGAAGGCATACATAATGTTGGTGGTGTGCAAGCATGAGGGGTAGAGCTGGGAGAAGTTACAGAGAGGAGCAGGGAGAAATATGAAAAAAAAATCATTGAATGGCATGTAAGAATTATCAATTAATAAAAATATGTTTTAAAAGGAGAAACCAATTAACAATATCAACAACAACCCCCACAAATCTCAACTATTCTTATAAACATCATTTTTATCAGGAAAGTCCTTGCACTAGGGAAACCACCATGCTTAGAGTGGTGGGTATAGATTTTCAAAATTCTAATTTCCACTTCAACCTCTGATTTTATTACTGACAACTGATAGAGCTGGCAGTCTGTGTCCACGTGTTCCATATCTGTGGATTCAACTAACTGCAGATTAAAATACTCAAGGGGAAAAATGGGCATCTGTATTGCACATGTGCAGACCATTCTTGTCATTATTCCCTAAACAATTTAGAATGAAGATGGTCTGCAGAGCACTTACACTGTGTTAGGCATGCTAAGTAATTTAGAGATGACATGACACACGTGAGAGGATGAGCACATTAAGTGATGTTTTCTGTGAAGGAATCAAATACTCTTGCTTCTTGATACCCACAGTCTATTAATTCCTGCCACACATACAATTTTTTTGTTGTAACAAAATGTTGGACAAGAAGCAACTCAATGGAAGGTTTTATTTGAACTTACAGTTTAAGGGAGTACAGCCCATATATATGAATGGTGTTTTCCAGATTAAAGGTGGATTTTCCCACCTCAAAATACCTGGATTAAGGGTGCATCTTCCCACATCAAAAGATCTGGATTAGAAACGGGTCTTCCTACTTCAAATGATTGAACTAAGTAAAACAGCCCTCACAGATATGCCCAGTCATTTGAGCTTTAGTTAATTCCAGATGTAGTCAACTGACAGCCAAGAATATTTATCACAGTATGCTCCTTGTCAATTGACACACAATTGTATCTCTTTATGTCATGCTTAATTTCCAAATGAAAACAATAACTGAGTTCTTATTATGCCTATCATGTTATAACTGCTCCTCATACAACTGCAAATGCATTATAATTTAGAATTGGTAGTAGTGTCCATTGAGGGACATTCTTTCAGTATCTCAAACTAAAATATGACAACTACTGATATTCTCTTAATCTATTTTAAATTACATTGTAAAGAAATAGAGGAAAGAAAACACAAATATCTGTGTAAAGACATTGTTAACAAGTATGACAGAACACTCAAGTCAATCATAATCCTTGTTTCTACAACTGGCCATATGGTCTCAGCTGGCATTTATAACCACACTTCTCTGTACCTGTAACCCAACGTTGGACACCTACATCCACATAAAGCCATAAAAATCTTGAAAAAGGTTCTAAACACACAAAAAACAGAGGCAAATGCAGCTTCCTGGTTTCATGACTCTCATTCTAGCCACAATACTGAGATATGTTTCTCAGCACCTGTCTGTGGGAGGAGCCAGCTGCCAGCCACCACACACTACCATGATGCACTAAACTAAGCTACACCAGCAGCAACTCACATAACAGTTTAAGATTCATCTCATACAATCAAAAAACAATACAGATGCTCACTAAAGGCAGATACAAGCAGGAAAAAAAAACTTTAAATGGGTTACAATATGCTTAAAAATATGCATAGGCTTAGGAGAGAAAAGAAAAAGGGTAGAAATGGTCATAGATTAGAAAATAGTTTAAAAAAAAAAAAACCAAAAAGTTCTTAAAAAGAAATGGAATAAAATATCATAAGCCACATAAAGGTGGGAATACATAGTCTGTATTCTATGTTATTGTGTTGTCTTTATATTTTATGATTGCTAATGAGGGAATGACAGCTTCTAAGACACACCAGTTATAAAAAGTGAAATAAACCACCCTATATATTTTAAAAATTTCTTGACTTCAAGATGGAAGTTAAACATAAATTACTTTGGGGAAGAGGTTATGCTCTTATTTCCACAGGAGATGAGAGGCTGTAGACTAATGTCAGGTTGACATGAATCAGGTTTGATGGAAGAAGACCCCCTGAAAATCCTGACTATAGAAGTAAGTAAATAAAAGAAGAACTACAAGACACATGATGCATATTTTACCTGCTCAAACATAAACAAAAAATCATCTTTGGCTGACTTGTGTACAATGCACAGTCTATACTTATAATAATGCAGATAAATATGTTACCTTTAAAAGTTTATGTATTTTCAGAACAGGGAGGCAGACACCAATAAAAATGGATGGTGGTCCAGTATCCAGAGTAGCTTCAAGGCTTCTGGTTGAGATGATCCAGCCTCACAAAATACACCTACCAAGACTTAACAATTATCCTTATTTTCTCAAGATTCCCCCCAAAGATGCCAGTGACCCCAGACAACAGAAAGCACTCTAGAAAAAAATGGCTATGTTTCCAAATGATGGTTTATGGATTGTTTATCATTAAAGGGGGACTGGTTAAAAGCTATTGGTCATAATAATAATAATAATAATAATAATAATAATAACAACAACAACAAAGCTAAACAAAAGAGTAAAATTCAAAGATCTTTTTCTAAAGGGAAAAAAAGGGGGGATATGGCATAGAAATGATGAGATACAAGGGTAGATTCTTGAATCTATTTTAATCCAAAAACCAACTATTA